TGAGTGTCTTCGCGATTTCTTGTTCCGTGATTGGTTCCCATGGGATCTCCTTCGGTGGGACGATACACTCAGGTGGCGGGTGGCGGCTGGGGGGAAAGAAGGTCTCCAATAGTACGCGTGCCTTGTCATGGTTGTCTGTTACTTCGTGGTCACCCACCCGGAGTGGCGGCAGGTTTGCGAAAGCGTCGTTCCTTTTCATGTATGGCGTTGCGCGCCACACTGTTTGCGAGGTTGCTTGGTCGAGGAAGTCTTTCCAGTCTGCGGCCTTGACTTTCTCGAGTTGACGAGTCCAGTGTCTTCGTTTGGTGCGCCATGTCTCGTGCAGCTCCACTGTCCGAGGGTGATGGCGACCATTTCTCGTGCAGCTGCGCTGATACTTCCTGCGAGATTTATTCACCTCCTTGAGTTCTGTTTTGAGTTCCCGGGTAAACCATCTCTTGGAGTATGGGCTGGGTTTCGCTATCGGTATATGTTTGTCAATGGCAGCGGTTGTTATGTCAAGGAGGGTTTTCACTGTTTGGTCCAATTCTCCTTTCGTTTGAAGACTCGGAATACCCGACATGTATGACTGGATTTTCGCTCCTCTCCTGGCCCATTCCGCTCGTTTGTATGCCCGGCGTGGTGTAGTTTCTGGTCGTTGTTCCGCCCGAAAGTTCCATTCCGAGTACGTGGCGCAGTGATCGGAGGCAAAATTGTCTTTATACAGATCACATTTCACTATCAGGTCGGGCGTGTTCGTAAGCGTCAGATCGATGGTCGACCTTTGGCCTGGTCGGCTGAGTGACCAATATGTCGGGGTGCCACTGGGAAGGCACGACGACAATCCTTTGGCGTGGATGAAGTTGATGAGCTCCTCAGCGTGTGCCATGATATGAGCGTACACATATGTGCTGCTCCAAGCTGGGTGGTGTCGGTTGAAGTCTCCAGCTATGATAAGGCTGGTTGGGGATGGCCAGTTTCGCGTATGTTCTTCAATTGTCACCTCAATCTCGTTCAGTGTGGCTTGCATGCTCTGTAGCTCATTGATATGAAGCAGCTCGATGGGTTCTACGTAGACCGAGAACACCAGTGTCTGTCTTTCTCCGTTTCGGATTTTGACTGCCGTGACGTCTGGATGATTACACGCTATTTGGCGGTGTGTTGTGGTAGAGATTCGTTTGTTGACGTAGATGAGGCTGCGTTTTCGGAATTGGTCGTTTTGATGTGTAGGTTGATATGTGTACCAGAGGCGGTGGTTAACATATGTCTGGTACGAGGTGATGGAGGGCTCCTGTATGAGCAGCACATCGAGGTCCTGTGTTGCTTGGTCGTTGACGAGCGCTTCCATGCCGGCGCGCGATTTCATGATGTTCAGCTGCAGTATTTTTAGACTGTTCTGATTCATTGGGAGCCATTGGCTTGGGTACGCCCCTCTCTTCATTGATGCTGATGTGTTCTGGTGCCTGGCGGTTGCCGCTCCTGCCCCCTTCGTTGGATGGGCAGTCTCGTCGCTCATGATCGCCCTTGCAGAGATGGCATTCTTTACGTTTTGGACAGTCTCTCTGGAAGTGCCCTGGTTCGCGGCAGTTATAACACTTTTTCTTTTCAGGGTCATATGCTGATACCCCCATGTGTCGTTGACCATACACTAGTCCATGTGTAATGGCTTCTTGTGCCGCAGCCTCGGTGTCAAACCATATTCCAAGAGTCGCATGGTATCCGATTGGCTTGCCCTTTGCAATGAGCCATGTGGCTTCGTCGATCTGGGCGTTCTTGGCCTGCATCTCGTTTTCCTCCATGAGTTGGCGAATGAACTCGTGTTCGTTATCTGGTAGCGCAATGCCGTCGGTAGGGAACCTGTGTATAACCACCGGGTATCGTGGTTTGACCAACTTGGTATTGTTGCCGAGTTCCTGCAGCCATTCAGTGTGTGTTTTGGCCGTCGCTGCTGCTTGTTCATCCTTGCAGCGCACCACATATCCAGTGCGAGTTGTGTTTACTCCGACCACTACGACATCTTTTGTGTTGTCTGTCTTTAGTAGGGCTTGTCTGATGAGTCCAATGGCTCTTCCGATGGGGAGGTTTCTGGTAAGGGTGTCTCCGTTCACTTCATCCTCGGTTCGGTTTGCCTTGGTGCTGATGCGCAGGCACTGAGGTTCTTTCGTCGGCTGGCGGGAGTTGGTCGGTGCAGTGGGTCCTGTGGGGGCTTGAGTTGCGCTGCCTTCGTTCGCAACTGACGCCCAGGACCGTGGGGCGATCGGGGAGGTGGTGGCCGGTTCAAGCTTGGACTCGAGAGAGCGGACCGCGCCCTGGAGATCAGTGTTTTGGCTTTTTATCAGTCTCAACTCGTCCTGTATGTCGCGGAGGGCGTTATCCTGGCTTGCGATGGTTTCTTTCAGCTCTGATATGATCTTCGCGAGGGTTTCTAGGATGGTTTCACTGGTTTCCTGAGGACCTTTGCGCGGGGAAGACCAGGGTTCGTCTCCGTCCGCGACCACAGAGATCGTCTCCGGGTCTGAGTCATTTTCAGCGATCAGTTGGGTCGCTTTTGCGCTGGGTTTCCGGGCTCTTCCTGAAGGGGGTCGTCGTGGTGTTGCAGGAATTGCTGGTGTTCTGCGTGTCGTCGGCATTGTCCAATCGGGAGTTGCCGACGCTAAGGCGCGTCGGGCGCGTCAGGCTTGGGGCCTCCCGAGACGCGTCTGATGGGCTTCGTGCTCTGGATCTTCGATTTCTTCGGTTCAAATTGCTCTCTGCATGATCTGCCTGCTATAGACTCATCCTACAGACCAAAGTATGTCGAGAAAGATATGTCTTCACCGCCACTTGGCGACTGATTAGTCCCACCCCGTCCACCGAGGAATAACCGCACTCTAGAGTACACTAGCGTACTCGATAACACGACGACGACGATACTCTAAAGTATACTTATCGAGTATACTCGGTATGGTACTCTAGAGTATGAAACACTGGCCCGGCGAAGCAATTGGCAACTCCGGGTACGTAAAGTCTGTTCAAAGGGAATATTTACCGTTAAAGCTAGATGGAGATTATATCCTGATTTGCGACTTTGGCTCGGATTGCTTGAGGAACTGAGAACTCTTAAATCATCGCACCCCTGAAGTACAGCTATGATAGTGGAATATGTCGACAGTGTCTCGAAATAGAGGACACAGCACCCCATGCACTTACCAAGGAAGTTTACAGTTGAGAGATTGACTTTCTCCGACCTTGGTGACGTAGATTGAGGCGTTACCACCGGGACATAGCACAGCAACTCTGATTATTTGATTTTGATAAGCCGATCTGCAAATCCCGGATGGCGTGGACCTCGAGCAGTCTCCATGATTCTCTCAGAAGATGTCTCAGTTGCTGCCAGGGCCGGCCGGTTGTATTGGACGAGGTTTGGAAGGATGAAGTCATTCAGACCAAGAAAGGAGACCTCAATGAAAAACACAACGCCTCGAGAGCTGTTTCATTCTACGCCGAGTCGGTTCGCTGTCATATCGTATTGTGATGGCAACGGCGTTGGCAGCTGTCGGATGACGCCTGACAAAGCAGTAAATTTTACCTATCCTTGGCAAATCAAGGCGACCTTGTTTATTTCGCACTATTACGGGATTGGGATGTACGGGTAATATTTTGCCGAGACCACCTCATTATTTCGCATCATCACGAGAATCCCAAGACACTACTCCTCGTCATTACCTAAGCTTTTCTGCCACACCATCTCGTTTCGGGACTTCTACTCCACTTGTGACTGAATCAACAGGGTCTAAACGATGCGATATGAATCATCCGAGGGGTTAATGGAAAGACATGGTTTTTGGCTGACCAACAGTGCAGAAGTAGCCGCGAAAGGGTAAACGTTAAAACGCACTGTGCACACAAGGGTTGCACACATCCCTATTTGGTTAGCGCTGTTCTTGGCGCAAAATATCCAACCCTTATCTTTTCTACCTGGCCATGCAACCTATTCATCGCCCCTTCTAACCATGTCAACCCTATCCCATGTCGCCGCGGACCTATTGGTCCCTGAGACAGGTTCAGATGACGAATTCTATGAGTGCAATTCTATGCCAGAGACAGAGACTATTGACGCAACAGACAATCATGATTCTCTGCCTGTCGAGCCTCTTGAGGAGACCTCGGAGATCTCCGAGGGGAGTATCATTTCATTTGGACTACCGCCTAGTGAAATCAGGTTTTACTCTATAGAAGAGGCATATGCCTTTCTTGACGAGTGGACCAGGGCACGTGGATATAGTCTTCGTCTTTATAGACAAGGCAATCCTAATCTCACAGGTAAGGTGAACTCAGTCTATTTGGTCTGTGATCGTTCCAACCCTCGCAACAGAAAGAAAAGCGATAATGATATAGCCCTTCGAAACAAGGGCACTATGAGTCAAAACTGTCACTTTCGGATGACTCCAAAGCGCTCCTCATTCTCTAGTAATGAGACGCAATGGTAGCTTATTTATACGCATAAGGAGCACTCTCACGAGCCATTATGGAGATCTATTACTCACCCTAGTCTTCGCCGACGTGGTCGACAACGCGAGATCAATGGATTCATTAAGGAGCAACTTCATGAGAGCGTCGCAGCGGAAACAACTGTCTCTTATGTTCGATCGCTTCATACTCATGTTCCTATTACTTATCAAGACGTTCGAAATGAGCGCAAGAAGCATGAGAGAATTGATTTAAATGGTGCAACTCCTATTCAAGCGCTTCTCTCGACTATCACGAAACAATGGCAACGTGGAACGCTTTATAACAACAAGACTATGAAACTTGAGGGCCTCACCTTCTTTCATCATAAAGGTCTTGATCTTTTTTGACTCTATTCAGATATTTTATTGGTTGCCACTAGTTAATATGGTTGGCGTAACAGCCAACAATGAGTCCTTTCTCGGATCGGCATTTATTAAGCGAGAGGATGACAACACCTATCAATGGGTTTTTGATAGTCTCTGAGACACTTGAACGTTGCGCAATATCATCTCCGCGGGTTATTATCACAGATGCCGCCTATGCTCTGGCGAATGCAATCAAGATTGTCTTTCCACTTGCCTCACTTGCTCTGTCTATGGCATATTAACAGAGCAATTCTGAGTAAAATCAAGAAGGTCTGGTGTCATTTTACTCAGCGAGACCTTGGCTTTGCCACTCAGGAAGATATTGATGAGCCTTCACAGATAGAGGATCAAATTAAGTGTCTCATGAAGAATTGGTGGAAATGTGTCAACGCGACTACTGAGGAGTGCGCTAATCACCTATTCCCCACACACCAAATTGGTAAGAAACGGACTCGAGCAGAGGATGATAAAGAAGAGCAGGATCTATTGCGGCAGTGGGAGGATCGACAGACAAAGGTCGCTGCGTTCGTTGCAGGACGAAATGTTGAACGATTTCGAGGTTTGCTCGTAGAATGGGTTGTCCGGGCCCAAATCCCGTTTTCTGATATGGAAGATAAGGGATTTCGGGATATACTGCAGGCCTTGCTACGGAGATGGCTTGAGAGGTTGGAGGGTATTTCGTTTTTCTAGGTCAGGGCCTGTTGGGCTGCCACTCCCAAAGTGCAACGCACCAAAACTCAAACGCCTACAAAGCTAATTTTTATTAGCATTTCGCACGATCTAAGGCTCCTTGGCATACTCGGAAATGTTAGGTTCATTTCATTGCTCCGAGGTTCCGGCGTTGTATGGGATAAATTTCGCTAGTACAAAAATATACTCCACCGCTCTAGTTCTAATATATTAGTCTTAGCCAAGCTCTACAGTACTAGGGTCATCATTACTAGTGTTGCGTATTGTCTCGTTAAATTACTACTAGTTTATGAGGGTAAATGAATTATCGACTAGTCTACCTACTAGGAGTGTCGAGTTCGACCGGCCGAAAACGGACAAACCAAGAAGAGCGGTTGGGTTTGTCATCGAGATATCCGCCTCAAACAAACCTTTACTCGGAAGCAATGCTTCCAGTCTTTTGCTTTCGGAATGGTAGCCTCCGCAGGTTGATTGAAACTCAAACAACCTTTCGCGGCACGTAATGGACAAATCCGCAAGGACGGCAGACGCTGCCCTTGGAAATGAATAAAACACCGACCAGAGATAAACCTTAAACAGCTTTATCGCCTGTTACAAGACTTTCTAGTCCCAACTGTGAGTGCCGCAAATCCCACAAACACCATGTCTCCAGAACAGCCCAAGCTCGAATCCGCCAATGGTAAAGTGAGCCTTCTGGCTTTGGTCAGACGCAAAGAAGGAACTACACGGGAGGAATTTTCAAAGTGGTGGTACGAAGTGCACGTGCCCATGGTTGCTGCTTTCAACGAGAAGAACGGGCTCATCAACTATAGTCAGGTGTGTAGCCAAGGAAGAATCCCCGTTGTTCTTGATCAAATCGATATTGATGGTCCCTATCGGATCTAGTTCCATTTCGACAGTGCCCTTACCACGGCCTTTTTCGGAACAGACCTTGGTCCTGATAACCTGAAGTTCCTGGACTTTGATGGTGTGATGATCTTGGAGCTGGAGTCTGTTGAGAAGTGGCATCAAGCGATCCAGGATCCTTACTATGCCGAGGTTATCGTTCCAGATGAGTCGCAGCATGTGGAAAAAAAGACTAGCTTCATCGGCGCCGGGAAAATTTACAAGCTATGGGAGAATGGAGCGTCAGTTAAGCAGTAGATAACCCAATTATTACAACCAGTATGTTTCTACACTCGGTTGACTGCAGAGCACAACTATCATGGTGTCTACTCAGTGGTGGCAAGGTGTTGGTTGCCGCGTACAAGCGACCCTCATCATGCATGGATTTACAGACAAAGTGCTTTGGGAGCAATATCGCCCAAACTTCTCACATAAACTCATTTCCTTCCATTTCTTGACTGACCAAGTTCAAATGAACATTTCGGTGAGCTCGTGGCCTCCGATACCATGCCCAGTTTTAGCCCTGTAGTGATATGCGTTAATATTAGAGCATCGGTGTTTGCTCGATGCCTTTGTTATGGAATGTTGAGAGACAAAGGGCGAAACTGGTTTGTCTGGGCTCGAGATGTCTATGGGGAGTCAGAGTTCAAAAGTGACTACTAGATCGACTCTTTATGCTTCTCTTTGAAGCGGTTTAGTCAGACCTTCTTAGACCGGCACAAAAGCCGTTGCTCTACAGTAGCAGTGGAACCTGTACCGCTGTGAAAGAGCAACATCGTCCAATTGGGCAATATTTCTAGAGATGGCATCATATACTTTACAATTTGACTTAATCTGCCTCGTAGATGGGGTTCAGAGAGAAATCTCATTTTATGGATGAGCGACAATCATCCCAGTTTGGTCCAGTACGGGAAGGTCGGTCGTGCATCGAGTTATGGCAACCTATCCGTACATGGGATGTCCCGTTCGGAGAGAAGTGGCCGAAATATAGAGCTCGGAACTATAGAGGGAGGGGCCTAGTTCGAGCATCCGAGTGCTCCTGTACCCTGGCTATACAGATGAATAGCATCATAAACGATTTCCATGCTCTGCCTCAGCATGTGAAGCAAATTAGATATAAATAATAAAGACGTGTTTTAGATTTCGTCGCTTAGGCCATTCTACACCATACTACCCTTTGTTGTGTTCTGCACTCTACTTTATCAGGCTTACATCGAACATGACTATCGACTTTGACACACCAGCTGACAAGGTCATGCCACCTGCCAGCCTGGCTCATGTCGTGCTGCGGACAGCGCAATTCCCCGAGATGAACGAGTTCTATAAGACCTTTTTGGGCGCGTACGCGGTCTATGAGAGGGAAAACCTGTCATTCCTCACTTATGATGAAGAACATCATCGAATTGCCCTATTTCAAGTTCCAGGCACGACACCTAAAGTGAAGAAAAGCTCGGGACTCGAACACATCGCCTTCACTTACAAGACACTGGATGACTTGGCTCTGGCCTACCGCCAACGTAAACAAAAAGATATTATACCATCGTGGTGTGTCAACCATGGACCGACCACTTCGATCTACTATGAAGACCCCGATGGCAATACCTTAGAGACACAGGTTGATAACTTTAATTCACCGGAAGAAGCGACTGCTTTCATGGAGTCTAAAGAATTTTTGGAGAATCCATTCGGAACAGACTTTGACCCTGAACACCTCATTAACCGACTCAGATCTGGGGAGCACCACGATTCGATCAAAAAACGGATCGAGATAGGGCCTCGAGGAGTACCTGCTCACGCCGCATAATCGAAGAAGGGCTACAAGAAGATGGCTCGAGGGGTTGATCACAGGGAGACGACGCTATCAAAAGGCAAAAGTGTCAAACGGACCCCATGCTGACATGCATTCGGAGACGTAGCTTACTATAGAGGGCAGCTTGGAAAAAACTTTCCTAATTCTCTCGTTTAGTTCAGCTAGCATGCCACACTAGATAAGTAGGCAGATTGGATCAAGAGTGACATTGAATGACTTGCCGGGTGGTAAATCTCCTGCGCCGTGATTTTGTTGGACGGCCGAGTTGCGAAATACTCCATCAAGGAGGTCTTTACAACTCCTGTCACGCAGCCCTCCTTGCTCCTAGGCATTGACCTATAGGGGCGCTCCATTTCTTACCTACGTCCATCAAAAATACGAGGTGCGAATCGTAGCCAGTAACCTCGGGTTTTTAAACTCGGCTATTTCGGGTCCGAACTGGAGTTTGTAAACCTAGTCAAAGCGGCATCTTATGCATAAAGCTATTCATCTAAAACAACAGAACAGGCAACAGTACTAGGCCGCAGGTCCACCCCCCCTCTACGAGGGAATTGAGGCCAACCAAACATTATGAAGAATTCAAAGGCACGGAGCTATTAAAGTACATCCGAGCTCCACTCGTTTCGGCCAAATCAGTCCGGGCCTGCCTTTGTTCCACATTCTTACTCGTTACAATAGTAACAAGCGGCTTTCGTCGGGTCTTCCGACCTTGAACCTAGAGTCAGCTCAAAGTTTGGGCCGCGTCCTCTGTAGAAGACCTGGGGATGTCCTGGAAGTGCGGGGTATGGTGAACGCCATTTATTCCTCGCTAGGTTAGACTTTGCTGGCCCCCCCTCATTTTCTGTCTTCGTTCGATCCGAAGATTCATTCCGGCGATGTCTCCCCCATACTACACCTTGGAGCTCTTACTTATCAGCCATGGTCGTGGACGGATCGATCCCAAAGTGCCTTCGTGCGTGTGAGTATTGCCGCACCAAAAAAATCAAATGTGAAGCCATACTCGAAATAAAGGTATAGAGACACGTCTTAACTTGTGTTAGGTGATGGCAAACAACCATGCAAGAATTGCGAGGTAAGTCTCTGTCGCGAGTCTACCTTTTACGAGTCTACTCTTAACCTCATCCAAAGCTCCACGGCGAACGCTGCTTTGTTGCGCCAACTAGCCGGAAGGGAGTGCGGGAAAAGCACCGACTGCTTCAAGAACGACTTTCGAAGGCAGAAGCTATGCTCGCTGCTGCAGGCATCGATTTAAACGCCCAGAATACCGGCATGAACTTGGTGCAAAAGGCTGACAATGCCTCTACCATTCCAACCTCAGCCCATCCACCAAATTTCCCAGCCGGGAGTCGATTTGAAGGTTCAGCCCCGAGGGCAGAGCCTCTTCCAGGTAGGGTAGATGACAATCTAGAGCAAGTCCCTAGGGGTACTGGCATCATCGAATTGGCATCAAACATCCGATCGGCAGACTCGAGATACCTTACGCAAAGCGTAGAGACTAGCGAAACCAACCAAACGCTTGTGAGCAGCCAGTTCGAATATCAAAACAGTGTGCCGGCCTATATCTCGGCCACACAGGCTTCCTTGCCGTCAGAGGACCATATGAGTCACGATGAGGACGAAACAGATAGGGCTCCAAAGATGGAGATTTCCCAGTCGACGGAGACTGTGAGTTGAAGAAATTTAGTCCTTTGGCTTACTCTTGAGACTGACTGTGATGCTGGAGGGTGCTTTAGAATACCATGGTGAGTCCTGACACGAGAATACGACGACCTATAGTGCTTGATTAACCTCCGTCAAGGTGAGGCATCTTACCTCTCGATTTGCTCGCAAGCCGGCGCGAATTGGGCTTCAAGCAGCCTTGGCCTATCGGACTTTACATCTAGCGCCATGTCCCTGCGTTCCTTCGTTTCGGGAAGGCTCAAATTGCAAACAGAGCTGTCTAGTACCAGAGCCCCTGAGCCGGACGCTCCTACAGCTTGGAAATATGCGAAAGGTACAGCTTCAGCTCAACACGCATGCTCATGCTCATGCTCACGCCCCTTCTCTTTCTTATAGGGTTTTTTGAGGAATGCTTGGAAATTCCCTGCGTACCCGTTCAACGCGAGATTTTCAACTCATACCTACGTGCGTTCTTCAAAAATCACCAGAGACAGAGCGAGAATCCAGCATGGTATGCGTTAAGACATGTCATCTACGCTTTTGGGGCTCGAATAGTACACTATAGCAAGCCGTCGGAGAATGCATGGATTGAGGCCCAGCGGATCTCCTGGAGGTATTTCGAAAACGCTTTATCTGTACACACACAACTCATCTACTGTTGTTCGCAACTGCAGGCTGTTGAAAGCCTACTCCTTATGGTGAAGAATTGCATCATACCCTTCTTTTACGTGACAACACTAACTTTGGCCCATCAGGCTCTGTTCGCTGAAGGTATCGGGAACCCCAAGTTAGAATACATGCTTATCAGCAACGCCACCCGGTTGGCGCAGTCCAAAGGACTCCATTTAGACATCTCAGAACCTGACAGACCACAGGGTAAGGAGCAAGAATATCGAAGTGTGCTGTTCTGGTCAATTTATTGCTACGAAAAGCACAATTCGTCTTGCTCAGATCGGGCGTCTGTACGTCGGACTTGGTGCATTCTACTTCGATATTGAGGCGCTGACCTGCAGAAGGCAATCGATGACGATAACATTAGCTGTCCCTACCCGTCCAGGCCGCTTCACGGATCAAAGACCAATCTCGAGATCTTCTTACAAATCATCGAGCTGGCTCGAATCAAATCTGCAGTATCGAAGCAGCTGCTAAGCGTGAGTGCGAGGCGTCAGTCGCAAGCCACTCGTTTAGAATTAAAGAAGACACTTGAGACACGCCTGCAGAAATGGCGAAGCCAACTTCCGGCCAAATTACGGTTCGAACCAGTCTGTACTTCAGACCAATCAGCTCCAGAAGTACGCAAGGAGCTGACCTTGTACTATCACTTGGCGTACCATGCGTTGCTCATCACCATCAATGATGCTATGGGCAATCCCTGGGACAAGGAAACTTCGAAGGGATGCCCAGAACGCTGTCAGGTGGCCCTGGCACCACCAGATAACATCAAGCATCGAGTTGCGGAGGCATCGAGAGAAATCATCCGCAGCTTGAGGCACGTCCCAATTGACTCTGCAGCTCCAACCTGGTAAGATCCTGTTTGCCTGGCAATACTGTCTGGAAAATCATAATCCCGCTTACTTCGAACACAGGTTGACTGTACTCTACCCAATTCTCGGCATGATCCACCTTTTTATTCACATTGTGACTTATCCCAGTCTGCCGTCTGTGGCATCAGACATCCAGCTCATTGATATGGCCGCCAGCTACTTCGGCCATTTGGACTATTCGACTGGTTCTTCGTTTGCTCTTGGTTTTATCCGAGATCTTGTGCACTGGGCACGAGTCCGTACAACGAGCGCCAGCGCTGACAAGTCCAATATTGCCAAGCCTGTAACACGGCCGGTATCCCCGATTACGAATGCCCTCAATTTTCTTCCTGCAGGCATGGATGAGTTCTTCTCGAACCAGGTAAGCGGTTCATGCCTTGTATACCGTGTCTTGAAACTGATTGCGGCTCTAGAGTTGGATTTCAGATACTTCCAATGCCCCTCCAGCTGATTGGGAAAATTTGATCTCCTCGTTGCCACAAGTGTCAGCCATGCCCTGGAATGATGACTGCAACATCATCTTTGAGCGGTGATTCAAGAGCTGGATGGCCGCACAGATCGAAAACCACGTCTGTTCCACCGCCGCAGCCGAGTACGCAGGTCAGCTAGAAGCCGTAAGAGGGAACAAAGATATCTGCGCAATCTTGCCTCTGAACTTTGGTCGAGCCTAGCCCCGGGATCGACAGTCATATCAAAGCCGATAATAAGGATGTTGTCGGCCTAGCCTAGGATTTCTTCGGACATGCCAGGAACGAAGACTTCTTAGAGCTTAGGATAATTAAAGGAGCCCAGGAAGGCATTGCTAACTTATCACCAAACACCAACATATGATACAGAACGCCGCAGACTACGCGATTGATGAATCCATGACCATGTGCGGTGGCGTGGTAGGCCGAGCTAGATAGCTAGGTAGCGACGTATCGCGTTGCGCCTCTCCCAAGGAAGCAATCAAATCTGCGAAAAATCATGCTACGATCTAGGATTCTGGGGTGAGAATCATAGTTCAACCGCACTTATCAATCGCTGTGGCGCGAGAGATGACAAGAAGTTCTCAGCAGCATGTTACAATCCCTTGGTGACAGATGTGTCCGACTAGTATCACCCCAACCGACTGTGGCCAGAGCTATAGGGGTAGCACATCTTCTTGGACCTTTGTATAGCGAGCTAAGGTTCCTCCGCCCCCTGTTTCGATCTTAGACCTTCTGTAAGATTACAATGACTCGACCATTCTGACTCCATCGACGGGACGGCCTTTCTCCCCGCAAAGCAGGGGACCGGCAACCTCTGATAATCCTGGCTGCTAAGAACCCTAGCCTCGCTGATAATTGACATGTAATAGGCTTATGCGGCATGTACGGGTACTCCTCGTGGACCGATTTCGATTCCTTTCTTGATCGAAGCATGATCTTCTCTAGAGCGTAGTCTGTTGATAAGATCCTCGGGGTCAAAATCGGTCCCAAAGGGGTTTTCGGTAAATTCGTATGATTCCATGAAAGCTATTGCATCTTCGGGGGTGTCGAAATTGTCGACTTACGTCTGCAGAGTGTTACCATCAGGATCTTCGTAGTAAATCGATATCGTCCGGACTGTGGTTGACGCACCACGACGGCACAATGCCCTTTTGTTTGCGTTGGCGATACGCCAAAGCCAGGTCATCCATGGTGGGATAAGTAACGGCGATATGTTCGAGTCCTGAGCTTTTCTTCACCTTTGGACCCGTGCCTGGGACTTGAAAAAGGGCAATGCGATGGTGTTCTTCGTCGTAAGTGAGAAATGATAAGTTTTCTCTCACATAAACAGCATGTGCACCCAGAAATACTTTGTAGAATTCGTTCATTTCTGGGAATTGGGCGGTCCGCAGCACGACGTGAGCTATTGTGGTAGGACTCTTGACTTGGTCAGCTGGAGCGTCAAAGTCAACCGTCATGTTCAGTGGCTTGCAATGAAACAGAGGTCAACTCCGTATTCTACTCCTAGATCACTTCAATTAAGAAGCCGTGCGTGTCTATCTATCTTCAAAGCACAACAGTAGAGCGAAACCTCATCAAGTTGTAGCACCGCCCAAGAAGAGCAATAGTAGAGGAGTATGCCGGGTGACTCTACTTTGTGTTCCCAACTTTCCGAACCCGGGTTCTCGGGATTTTCCCTCCGAAGGAACGTTTGTATGACAACGATGACTAGGGCTAGGATCCAACACCATGCACCCTTGGGAAAAACTCATCAGTCCCAGTAGCCGCCTACCGAAGCTCAGGTGTCGCCCGCGGTACACCTGGACAAGAAGTGGCAGAATCCACCTGGGACGGAAATTGACACTAAGCAAAGGGGGTTGCTGAACTGCCGTGTGCTGGGGCTCCAAAGATCCCAAAGCACTGCGGTACGTTTCTCTTACTGTAGTACCTAGTCACATAACAGCATCGGTGTGAAGATATGAGAATGTATTGCTCGGCAAGAACTTGCACGCACTCGGTCCTAAGAATAGTTTGGTCGAGTCATCCGCGAACATCCGCCCAGCACTTAAGAATCTTAACGTACAGCTTAAAAGGCTGATCGATACCAGCTGTTTCTCCTCCGAGTCTCATTGCCTTACTGACTGGAGCGCCATTCTCCCATAATTTGTATGACCGCCCTGCACCGATGAAACTTGTCCTTTTCTCGACGTGCTGTGACTCGTCGGGTACAATCAGTGGCAATCACGTTGGCATAAAAAGGGTCCAGCATCGCTTGATGCTATTTCTCGATAGACTAACTCGAGGGTCATGACACCGTCATAGTCGATAAACTTAAGGTTATCCGGACCGAAGTCTGCTCCAAAAAAGGCCTGTGTCCTGGCTGCTGGTATGAAACTGGGTTCGGCAAAGGGAATTAATTCAACATGCCCATCCACCGAGTGCAAGTCTTGAAGAATACGTACCTGGTGGTAGTTGACCACGCCGTTTTTCTCATTAAAAGCAGCTACCACAGGTACGTGCACTTCGTACCACCACTTAAAAAACTCTTCTCTGGTTGCTCCTTCTTTACGCCTTACCTAGAGCGAGGAGGGTCAGCGTACCCTTTGCGGTGTCGAGCTTGGGCGCGTTTTGAGACATGATTCTGTAAGCGAAAGTGGTGTCACACGTGTTGGTGATGGGTCAAGTGAACCTTTTTCATGTTAGCATAGGTCATTTCAAGAATCTGGAGTTGTGGCGTATGCCGAACGCGTGGCTGATCAAGACCTTGCGCCGTCCGGCATTATCGGAGCTTGTTGAGCCGAGAGAGAAAGCAATCACGGGCAAAGAACCTGGGGCGATAGACTAGGGTCCGAAGCTGGGAAGCACTTGCTGATGCCCGCATTCGTTGTGTGTCTCGAGCTTCACAGCACGCAGAATACCCTGGCACACCCCACCAAGCCATCCCGATTCGCCCGAACTCCCCGGACTCGAAACGGATTGTTGTGGTTGTAGCGGCGAGAAGAGAATTCGATTAACTAACTATAAGTGAAGGGGGGTCTGGCCGCTATATGTACGTAAGAGTGCGCAAACCACTGTACCAAAGTACCAAAGTACCAAACGGAAAACGGTATCTCCGATCCTTAGCACTAGAATCACATTGTGACTTCCACACGTGTTTGAGTCGGTCAGGAACCCTAATTAACAACTATGCTCGGAGGTAATAGTTCCGAAGAGGATCGAAGAAGAATCAAACCCGGCTCCGAAAGTGCCATGTCCATCTCTTTCAACCAACTTCCTGAATCGCACTCGGCCAGTCAAGCCAATACGTTCCCTTCCGCCAAGGTCGTGCGCAAGCAGGACCCTGCTTCTCGGATCAGCTTTCTGTTCCAGCACCAACTCGGGATAAGGATAAAGGCAGGTTTGGCGGATATTTCATACGCTTCGATGGCCTCCTCAGCTAACTAGATAACCCAAGCCTGCAACAATCACCACTTCGGTTTCCGGACATATCTAAGCCATGTCCCGATTCGGCAAACTGATTCGTTTCAAAGACCCGTCAGGGCAGGTCTTCTATGGAGAGGCGAAGGGATTGCCGCGCATAACACAGGAAGGCCTCGTGGGCGCGGATGTTCCTGTGTTCGCTGCTGGCGAAGAGCCATGGTCTAGTAAATTCAACCTCTCTGGCTCTACTGCGAAAATTGCAGAGGTGAGCGAGTAAGGTCGACTGTCCTTGGCACGGCCAGAATTGCGGGATTGTAATACTTACTGGCTTACTTTTTGTTTTCCCTAGGTGCTGCCCCCACTACCTGAAGTGCCTATTTTTCTCTGCATCGGGTTGAACTACAAAAAACATGTCGAGGAAACAGGTGTATGTATTTTCTTGCCTACCTCTGGTCTCCCATGGCAAAACAGGAGGTTACAGGATTGACGGTAGACGTGCGATTAGATGAAAGTTGGAGAGTATCCGCAGACATTCTACAAACCCCCAGGTAAGCAGAACCCGGACAGAGCTGTCCCAGTTACTCAAACCCTTTTTTCGACGCTGATGAGCATTCAGATGCCCTTGCCGGACCATTCGAAGATATCCCAATTCACCAAAGTCACCAATGGATGGACTACGAAGTAAGTTTGTGTCCATGGCCTAGGCCGACTAAGAGGTCATCATTTTTACTCATGCCTGGTGCGCAGGTCGAACTGTGCGTAGTCATCGGAAAAGATTGTAAGAATGTTGGTGAGGACGAGGATGTCACTCAATACATTCTAGGTTATACCGTTGGTAATGATGTGTCTTCCCGCTGGTGGCAGATGCCAGAACGCTCAAGCAACCAACCTTCGGCAGCGAAGGCCTTTGACAAATTTGCGCCGATTGGGCCTGTTATCACGTCTCCCGAGATCATCACCGACCCCAGTAAACTTGAGCTATACACGCTCGTGAATGGAGAAGGGAGACAATCATCGTCGACGGACGACCTGATCTTCGACGTACGCGCCATCATTCGCCACTTTAGCCGCAGTACAACAATTAGGAAAGGGACTGTGATTATGACTGGAACTCCTGGCGGTGTAGCAGCATTTATGAAACCACCAGCCTGGCTGCAAGACGGCGACATCGTGGAAATGGGTATTGACAAAATCGGAACAATTCGCAACAAGATGGCGTTCGAGAAGATGCCTTAGATTAAGTATCAATAACCGGCTATCACGTCACATTTCGGGAGCCCGGAGATCGTTCCTCCACTACCTGCCAGAGCCTTTACCGGTAGCGTTGTGTGCCATCGCCCTCAATTGCGATTGAAAACCTATTTGCAGCTGTGATATGCCGGTCCTCAGAAGGCAAAGTGAGTGACAACCAGTTTTTGAGCTTGTTGGCGGGATAGTGGAATTGTGTGCATGGTGCTTGGGATAGCTTGGTCTTCGAAACCATCGCTTGGTTCTACACTGCAAAGAGTATCAACTTGTTGCAAACACTGTTTAGACTAATTCCGTAAAATTGCTACTCAATGCATCATGTGAGATGAAACATAGCCAACCCAAGAAACCTGGTTTGTAGCTATGCTGCTGAAAAGACTATATATGAAGACACGAGAGTGACGATAATTGGATCGTAAGAATCCAGCATGACTTTCTATAAGCTTTCTCTCAAACTAAGTGTATGGTATCTCGTATCTCATATCACAATCAAACTCACGACTCCTCCATTTAGTATCCTAGCCTGCAAGTTGCTTCTCTCTTGGTATCATTCCACTCGTAGGCGGACGACGAGCTCCCACCTCCACGTGGTGTCCGCTGGGAACTCTCAGAGAAACAGTCTGGCTGTCTCTGAGTGCCAGGAGGAGCTCAGCAACGCGGTGATCCTCTCACGAACGACGCGTCGAAGTCCCGAAACTTACCCTCTGCACCTCACGAAACACCCAACATGCAGTACCAGTACGCAGGAAGGGAATGGCCTCCCTTTCATGTACGCCCAACGATAGAGAACGGACTTGAGTCCCCCGTTTTCTTGCCCGACCGCAGTTTACGGTGTCAGAGCGTGGAGAAACGCGACGAAGAGACGGAATTA